ATTCTCCCAGCCTGGCTTGTGTTTTTCAATTCACTTATGAGTACTACTGTACCAATATTCTAAAAGTTGTCTTTGTGATATTTATCAACATTTTCCTTTTATAATTGTACTTGTAAAGCATAGTTTAGAAGTGTATTACTGGCTGGGCGCAGTGGCTCACGCCTGTAATTCCAATACTTTCGGATGCCAAGGCGGGCAGATCACTTGAGGCCAGGAGTTGGAGACCACCCTGGACAACATGGCAAAACCCTGTCTCTACTAAAAATACAAAAATTAGCCGGGCATAGTGGAACGCGCCTGTGGTCGGAGCTACTTGGGAGGCTGAGACACAAGAATTGCTTGAACCTGGGAGGCAGAGGTTGCAGTGATCTGAGATTGCACCACTGCACTCCAGCCTGGGCAACAGAGCAAGATTCTGTCTCAAAAAAAAAAAAAAAAAAAAAAAAAGTGTATTTCTTGGCTGGGGACATAAATGTAATTTTACTTCTATTTTAACTTCTTAAAATTATTTGATTCTAATAGAAAAATTATGCATCAACAAGTTCACTTATTAAAACTTGTACCTGGTTCTTCTAATACATTTTCCTATTGTTTAATACTAAACTCACAAAAATACTAGTTAGTCAATTTTACATATTGACCTCTTAGCTTGGTAGATGATTTTAAACTCAAAGCCACATCCTTCCTTGATTTTACCTCCTATAACTTATCAATGTGCAGTGTTGCTTTTCTAAAGACCAATAGAATTCTAACTACCATCCTTTGAATGGAAATTCTACTTCCCTTTAGAAGCTTCTAGAACTTTCTATATATTCCTGGTATTCTGAAGTTTTTGCAACAATTATCCTTTTGTTCATTTATTGTGCTCATCGTGGAATAGCTTCAGTCTGGAACCCCTGTGCCTCATCTCTCAAATCTTGAGTTTTTAAAATAAATATTTTCATGATACTCTGAAACTTTTTTAGTCACATAAATATTGCTAGTGTTGGACATCCCTGAGCAGAGATCTTATTATTTTCCGATTTTTTCACTCTTTTTGTTCACTTTTATATATTTTTTCTACTTCCTGGAACAGCTTTGTCTTCCAACTCTTCTACTATTGCCTAAGGGTTTCTTTTTAGCTATTGATTTCAAGAACACTTGTCTTATCAGAGTTTCCTTTCTTTTCAAGACTATCTTGATGTATAAGTGCAATATCTTTTATTTATCTGAGAATATTAATTTTAACATTTATAGATTTTATTTTTATTTATTTTTATTTATTTATTTATTTTTTGAGGCAGTATTTCACTCTGTCTCCCAGGCTGGAGTGCAGTGGTGTGATCTCAGCTCACTGCAACCTCCACCTCCCAGGTTCAAGTGATTCTCCTGCCTCAGCTTCCAAAGTAGCTGGGATTACAGGTGCCTGCCACCATGCCTGGCTAATTTTTTTTTTGTATTTTTAGTAGAGAGGGGGTTTCACCCTGTTGGCCAGGCTGGTTTTGAACTCCTGATCTCAAGTGATCCACCCTTCTTGGCCTCCCAAAGTGCTAGGATTACAGGCATGAGCCAATGTGCCCAGCCTTATTTCTTTTCTTAAGAAAAAAATGTGTTTGCTTGCTGCTTTCCTCCTCTTCCCCCTCTTTTCTTTTTCTCTTCCACCTTCCCTTTCTTTGTTCTCTCTTTGTCTCTGTATCTCCCTCTCTCTCTTTCTTGCCGTCCCCATGCTGTTTGAGGATTTTTCTTCAATGTCCTGTAAATTTTTGTTCTCCCTTTGTGTCTAAACAAATGCTGAGACGCTAAGAGAAACCCGTGTGCTTGATCACTTGTCTTCACTGTGCGATGACTGGGCAGCATGTTGGCTTTTTTTTTCCCCCATGTATTTGTATGAGGAATAAGAGCATCCTGAAAATAGAATCTTTCCTATAAAATAGATGACCATGAGAATCAGGTTTTACTAGATGATGAGGTTTTATTTACATTCTAAACCACAGTAAAAACTCCCATTCTGCACTAATACAGTTTGTATATTTGTCCCCTCCAAATCTCATGTTGAAATGTGATCCGCAGTGTTGGAGGTGGGCCCAGTGGGAGGGATTTGAATCATGGGGGCAGATCCCTCTGAATGGCTTAGTGCCATCCTCATGGTAATGAGTGAATTCTCTGTCTCTGAGTCCACACAAGAGCTGGTTGTTTAAAAGAGTCTAGGACCTTCCCCTGCTCTCTCTTACTCCCACTCTCACCATGTGACACCTTGGCTCCCCTTCACCTTCTGTCATGAGTGGAAGCTTCCTAAGGCCCTCACCAGAAGCAGATGCCAGCACTATGCTTGGTGTATAGCCTGCAGAGCTGTGAGCCAATTAATTCCTCTTTTCTAATTTACCCAGTTTTAGGTATTCCTTTATAAATGCAAAATGGACTAACACATGCACCAAGCCTGTAATTAACAGACTGACTTCTTTGGTTACTCACGTCTTCCCTAAAGGAGTGAACTTTCTGGGACCGTGTTACTGTTAAAGATACAGAGGCAAACAGTATAAGTGTAGTGATGCTGCCAAAGTCACAGAGCTAGTAAAGGAGAATCGACATTCATTCTCAGGTCACTAAGCTTGATATCTGCTTCCTACTGACCCCATTAATAAATGGTCAAACCAATAGCTTCAGGGTCTCACAGGCCAACCAACACAGACAGAAGTGCCACTGAATCTATGACCGGTTAGGATAATAGAGCCTCAAATACTCTATGAATCTTATAAACTCATATAAACCTGGTGTGAACATCATGCCACTATTCTATTCTATCTCAATAAGGACTCAACCAAATCTCATCTTGAATTGTAGCTCCCATAATTCCCATGCGTTGTGGGAGGGACCCGGTGGGAGATAACTGAATCATGGGGTGGTTTCCCCCATATTGTGATCATGGTAATGAATAAGTCTCATAAGATCTGATGGTTTTATAAGAGGTTTCTCCTTTTGCTTAGCTCTCATTCCCTCCCCTGCCTGCCACCATGTAAGATGTGGCTTTGCTCCTCCATGCCTTTCACCATGATTGTGAGGCCTCCCCAGCCATGTGGAGCTGTGAGTCCATTAAACTTCTTTCCTTTATAAATGACCCAGTTTCAGGTATGTCTTTATTAGCAGCATTAGAAACAGAAAGATGCCCCCAAGTTGCCAGGAAGACAAATTGGTGCCCAACGTCATGGAGAAGTTGATGTTCCTCCTCCAGGGGCTGTAAGATGAGGCCACAGAAATAAGCTTATCCCATTTGTGGCTTAAAAATGTGTCCTGCTCAGTGGAAGCTGGCACTGGTTTTCTAGGAATGCAGATGCAGAACCCTCCCAGCAAGAGGGTGAGAAGTGGGTCTCGTGAGTCAAATGTTTAGCCTAAGCTCTTGATTCCCAGGTCAAGCTCAGGAAAGAAGCTTACCTTTGGACTATATATATTTGCATTCTAATAAAACATTTTTTAACTTTTTTGTATTTTCATAGGTTACTGGGGAACCAGTGATGTTTGGTTACATGAGTAAGTTCTTTAGTGGTGATTTGTGAGATTTTGGTGCGCCCATCACCCGAGCAGTATACGCTGCACTGTATTTGTGGTCTTTTATCCCTCACCCCCTTCTCACCCTTTCCCCTGAGTCCCCAAAGTCCACTGTGTCATTCTTATGCCTTTGCATCCTCATAGCTTAGATCCCACTTATGAATGAGAACATACGATGATTGGTTTTCCATCCCTGAGTTACTTCACTTAGAATAATGGTCTCCAATCCCATCCAGGTTGTTACAAATATCATTAATTCATGTTTATGGCTGAGTAGCATTCCATCATATAATTTATATATAATATAATATTCATATTATTATAATTATATAATTATAATTATATACAATATAATATATATACATTATATATAAATTATATATATATACACACACACCCCCCACAGTTTATCCACTCATTGGTTGATGGACATTTGGGTTGGTTCCACACTTTTACAATTGCGAATTGTGCTGCTATAAACACACATGTGCAAGTATCTTTTTCGTATAATGACTTCTTTTCCTCTAGGTAGATACCCAGTAGTGGGATTGCTGGATCAAATGGTAGTTCTACTTATAGTTCTGGAAGGAATCTTTGCACTGTTTTTCATAGTGGCTGTACTAGTTTACATTCCCACCAGCAGTGCAGAAGTGTTCCCTGTTCACCACATTCATGCCAACTTTTTTTTTTTTTTTTTATTATGGCCATCCTTGTGATTGTGATTTGCATTTCCTTAATCATTTGTGATGTTGAGCATTTTTTCATATGTTTGTTGGCCATTTGTATATCTTTTAAGAATTATCTATTAATGTCCTCAGCCCACTTTTTGATGGAATTATTTGTTTTTTTCTTGCTAATTTGTTTGAGTTCATTGCAGATTCTGGATATTAGTCCTTTGTCAAATGTATAGATTGTGAAGATTTTCTTCTAGTCTGTGGGTTGTCTGTCTACTCTGCTGACTGTTCATTTTGCTAAGCAAAAGCTCTTTAGTTTAATTAAGTCCTAGCTATTTATCTTCATTTTTATTGTATTTGCTTTTGGGTTCTTGGTCATTGTGTTGCTATCTCATTTCTTAGGTCTAGTACATATAAGGGTGTCCATTGTCTCCTAAAGTTTTGATTATTTTTTATTTACGCTCTCTATTTCACTGAAGATTTCTCCCCTAATTTCTTGTATCATTTTTTAAAAAATTTCCTTAAATTGGGCTTCACTTTTCTCTGGTGCCTCCTTGATTAGCTTAATAACTGACCTTCTGAATTCTTTTTCAGAAATGTCAGGGATTTCTTCTTGGTTTGGATCCATTGCTGATGAACTAATGTGATTTTTGGGGATGTTAAAGAACCTTGTTTTGTCATATTACCAGATTTGATTTTCTGGTTCCTTCTCATTTGTGTAGGCTCTGTCAGAGGGAAGGTCTAGGGCTCAAGGCTGTTGTTTAGATTTTTTTGTCCCATAGGTATTCCCTTGATGTAGTATTCTCCCTCTTTTTCTCTGAATTTTTTTTAATGAAAGCCTTTTGTCTGTTCCTTCTGCAGAAAGGCCAAGGCGAGAGCGTAGGCAACGCACAAGATTTCTCTCCAAACAACTCACAGCATTGAGAGAAGTGCTTGCAAAGACCATGCACCCAAGTTTGGTTACCATGGGGAAACTGGCTTCAGTGCTACAACTTGATCTATCCGTAGTAAAGGTCTGTTCCCAAGTGTGTCTGTAGCACTCCTAACCCAGAGCTTCACACACACTTCTGATCACTGTTATAACAATTCCTATTTATTGGCAATTCCTATGTGTGAGGACAAATGTTAAGCACTTTATATTTTTGTTGTCATGAGCACCCACTTTACTGAGGAACACTAAAGCTCACATAGAAGAGCTGTCTTCCAAGCATTATAAACACAAGAGTTGGAATTTGAACCCAGACCTTTCCAACTCCAGACCCACCATGCTACACAGGACTCTTTGAAGCTGGATCTCAGATACTCCCATTTGGGTCTATTCTTGTATATTCAGGATGGGTTCTGTTTAATCAGGATGATCACAGTCATCCAGATGTCTGTCACTAAGTTCCCACAAAGTATTCGGGGGAGAACACCTGGATGAACACTGAAGACAACCCAAGCTAAACTCTCACCCCCATACTCTGACTTTAAAATACTTTCTCTGGGCACCAGGCATGGCTGGGATTACCCTTGTAATCCCAGCACTTTGGAAGGTGGAGGCAGGAGGATTGCTTGAGCCCAGTTCAAGACCAGCCTGGGCAACATAGTAAGATCATGTCTCTACAAAAAAAAAAATTAAAAATTAACCAGGCCTGGAGGCACATGGCTGTAGTCCCAGCTACTTGGGATACTGAGATAGGAGGATTGCTTAAGCCCAGGTGTTCAAGGCTGCAGTGAGCTATGATTGCACCACTGCACTCCAGGCTGGGTGACAGAGTGGTACCTTGTCTCGAAGAAAAAAAAAAATACACCCCTAATACAAACACCCTTCTATTGAATACATCATGATCTAAGTCATATTCCACCCATTGTGAGTCCAATCCTACCCCCACTTTTCCCTTGAAACCCAGGACAGCAGAGGATAGAAAGAGCTTCCCTTGTTCCAATAAATGTGAGACTAACTCTCACTCCAAAAAACCAAATTCCTGAGGAACATGAGGATGCCCCTTTATACTCAACCTCCATCATTAACCTCCCCACTTCTCCCTCCCCAGATTTGGTTCAAGAACCAACGCGCCAAATGGAAGAGGCAGCAGCGGCAGCGAATGCAGCCATGGCCATCACTGGGACCATCAAACCAGACCCTTTCAGTGAAGGAGGAGGAGACTCCCTCAGCTATAACTACTGCAAACATTCGTCCAGTAAGTCCCGGAATCTCTGATGCAAATGACCATGATCTCCATGAGCCTTCTGATATCAAGAATCCTGGAGGAGCCGGCGCCTCTGTGAGGGATTCATCCTGGGACTCTCAGGCACATGACGTTGAACAGATATGTCTGGGGGTTTCAAATCCTCCTTGGGCCTCCACTGTCTGTGAAATAGATGAATTTGTAAAGATCTACGACTTGCCAGGGGAAGATGACACCAGCAGCCTAAATCAGTATCTTTTTCCAGTATGCCTTGAGTATGACCAGCTCCAATCTTCAGCATAACTTCTTACACATAGCTTCTAGGGGAGGTCTGTGATGTGATCCACTGAAACATATTTCCAAACATCTTTAATGGGTTGAGCCCAGTCTAAGTAGATCCAGGGCTGGGAATTTATCTTTTTCTGTTAAAAAAAAAAAAAAAAAACCAACAATAAAGGACCTCCCCTACCTTTCATCACTGCCTGCATTTTCTGAACTCCATTTGAGTGCCTTCTCACCCAAATTTCAGCATTAAAGAGTGTCATCGGAGAAGGGACGCCAGGAACACATAGGAGGTTCCTGACTCTGATGCGCTGAATAAACATCTATGCCTGGATCATTTGTCTCTGGAAGAAAGTCAGAAGTGAGTTGGGAGACTCTTACACACCAGGCAACTAAGAAAATGTCTCATCAGGCCAGGCGCGGGGGCTCACGCTTGTACTTCCAGACTTTTGGGAGGCCGAGGTGGGCAGATCACGAGGTCAGGAGCTCAAGACCATCCCGGCTAACACGGTGAAACCCCGTCTCTACTAAAAATACAAAAAATTAGCCGGGTGTGGTGGCGGGCGCCTGTAGTCGCAGCTACTCAGGAGGCTGAGGCAAGAGAATTGCTTGAACCCGGGAGGTAGAGGTTGCATGAGCCAAGATTGCACCATTGCCCTCCAACCTGGGTGACGTGACAGAGCAAGACTCCATCTCAGAAAAAAAAAAAGAAAGAAAGAAAAAAATGTCTTATCAAACAGGCAGGAAAAGCTGAAGCACTCGGAAATACTAAACCCATTCTGGGCACTGAGCCATACGATCAGGAAGGAATCCCCGGTTCCCAGCTTCTCCCCCACGAGAGAAGGGGTGACCCACACATATAGCACCCTAACTGTTGATGGTTAAGTTCCTAACGAGCCTGCATCAGGGAGTTGACTAGGTAGGTAAACTACAGACTTACAAGAGCCTGAACAGAAGCTAGGTGCCACCCAAGCCTGCAGCCCAGTTCAGACCAGCAATAAATCCACGTCTATCCATTCCTCCTGGAAGAAGTTTGTCCACACATCGAACACCCCAACTTTTATACCTGCACTCAAAGGACTGCATCCTAAACCCCCTAGCTCTGGAAACAGAAGGGATTAAGCATATGTGAGTCTCCCTAGCTCACAGAAGAAAAAGGTGGTTTTAAGCAGGCACACAAGCACTTCAAGGCTAGCCTTCCTCCACCTCACTCCCCCAACCGGAGCAGTGCAGAGAAGGGGTCAATATGCACAGCTCCCAGTTTCTCAAAAAGGATTTGCCAGCACACTCTTCCAGCTGCTGCTTGATAGTCATGCTTTTAACTAGCCTGTATCTGGAAGTTAACCGGACAGACAAATGCTGGACCTTTGGGAGCCTGAATGGGAGTTCAGACACTGCCCAAGCGTTTGGCCCTTGCTTGCTCCAGTGGTAAGTCTATAGACTCTCCCTGGAAGGAGTTCTTCCATGCAGTGAGCACCCAAACTTTTGCAGCTTCCACTGCATCCTAAATCACCTATCTCTGGGAACTGAAGGAATTTGACATTTGCTAGTCTCCCCGGATCACAGCAAACAGGTGATTTTAAACTGATGCACAAGCATTTCCAGATGAGAATAGTTCCAGGGGCCTGAGGCTGAACACACCCAGCTGGCCACCACTACCACCTCAGGTGGCATCTACTTGCATGTGCCATTTATGGGCCTGGAGACTGGCCTGCTCAGCCCATTGCAGCCATCACCAACACTAGCACCAGCTGACTGGGAGCTAGATTGTCCTGCCAATATTACTGCCATTGTCCATGCCACCCTTGCTGCCCAGTGGCCCCAGGAACTACGTAACTACCTGGCCCATGGCTGGCAATACCAGCACCCAAGCAAGCCACCTGGAAGCCTGGGAATTGGCCCACCTGAACCTACTAAGACCTGTGCCAGCATACACCACCCTGGGGCTCAAGGACAGTCATACTTGTCCCACCACTGCCACCACTGGGCCCGGAAACCGGCCCACCTGACATCCCCTATCCCTGGAAAAGATTCACAGTCTCCACTAACGACTGCACCTTAAGCCACAGAGGAAATAACACTACTGATGTTCCTTTCAGCCAAATAAATCATACAGAGGTTATACCTGGATAAAGAATTCAAAATAATGATATTAAAGAAGCTCAGTGAGATACAAAAGAACTCAGAAAAATAATACAAACAAATTAGAAAAACAATTTAGGATATGAATGAGAAATTTACCAAAGAGATAGACATAAAAAAGAACCACACAAATTCTGGAAATGAAGACTTCATTGAATGAAGTACAAAATCTATTTGCAGAACTTGAAGCCATATCTTTTGAAATAACCCAGGAAGGCAAAAATAAAAAAGAATTTAAAAAGAATGATAAACGCCTTCATGACATATGATACCATAAAGCAACCAAATTTTCAAATTATTGGGGTCCCAGCAGGCAAAGAGGGAGAAAAGGGTAAGAAAGTCTATTTAATAAAATAATGGGCCAGGCATGGTGGCTCATGCCTGTAATCCCAGCACTTTGGGAGGCCGAGGCAGGTGGAGCACCTGAGGTCAAGTGTTCAAGACCAGCCTAGCCAACATGGTGAAACCCGGTCTCTAGTAAAAATACAAAAATTAGCTGGGTGTGGTGGTACACGCTTGTAGTTCCAACTACTTGGGAGGCTGAGGCAGGAGAATTGCTTGAACTCAGGAGCCGGTGGTTCCAGTGAGCCGACATTGCACCACTGCACTCCAGCCTGGCAACAGAGCGAGACTCCATCTAAAAACAACAACAACAAAAAACGTGATTTATACACAATGGATTTTTTTTTTTAATACTTTAAGTTCTAGGGTACATGTGCATAACGTGCAGGTTTGTTACATATGTATCGTGCAGGTTTGTTACATATGTATATTTCTGTGCCATGTTGGCAAGCAACGATTTAACCGCCAGCAATCCATCAACTCTAAGCCATTTACATCAGGTATGTTAACTCTACGAACTCTCCCCTCCTCTTCTCCCCAAGTGATAGCTCCAGTGTGTGATGTTCCCCTTCCCGAGTCCAAGTGATCTCATTGTTCAGTTCCCACCTGCGAGTGAGAACATGCGGTGTTTGGTTTTCTGTTCTTGTGATAGTTTGCTAAGAATGATGGTTTCTAGCTGCATCCATGTCCCTGCAAAGGACACAAACTCATCCTTGCCAAGTATCATAGCATTCCATGGTGTATATGTACCACATTTTCTTAATCCAGTCTGTCACTGATGGACATTTAAGTTGACTCCAAGTCTTTGCTATTGCAATAGTGCTGCAATAAACACACTGTGCTGTATGTCTTCATAGCACATGATTTACAACCTTCTGGGTATATACCCAGTAATGTGATGGCTGGGTCATATGGTACTTCTAGATCTAGATCTTGAGGAATCGCCATACTGTTTTCCATAATGGTTGAACTTGTTTACAATCCCACCAACAGTGTAAAAGTGTTCCTATTTCTCCATATCCTCTCCAGCACCTGTTGTTTTCTGACTTTTTAATGATTGCTATTCTAACTAAAATATATCTCATTGTGGTTTTGATTTTTGTATTTCTCTGATGGCCAGTGATGATGAGCATTTTTCATGTGTCTGTTGGCTGTATGCATGTCTTCTTTTGAGAAATGTCTGTTCATATCCTTTGCCCACTTTTTGATGGGGTTGTTTGTTTTTTCTTGTAAATTTGTTTGAGTTCTTTGTAGGTTCTGGATATTAGCCTTTTTGTCAGATGAGCAGATTTCACAAAAATTTTTCCCATTCTGCAGGCTGCCTGTTCACTCTGGATGGTAGTTTCTTTTGCTGTGCAGAAGCTCTTTAGTTTAATGAGATCCCATTTGTCAATTTTGGCTTTTGCTGCCGTTGCTTTGGTGTTTTGTAGACATAAAGCCCTTTTGCCCATGCCTATGTTCTGAATGGTACTACTCAGGTTTTCCTCTAGGATTTTCAGGTATTAGGTCTAGATTTGGTCTTTGTACATAATCCCATACTTCTTGCAGGCTTTGTTCATTTCTTTTTCTTTCTTTTTTCTTTGGTTTTCTTTTCTCGCCCATTTCATTCATTTCATCCTCAATGACTGGGATACTCTTTCTTCCAGTTGATCGAGTCAGTTACTGAAGCTTGTGCATTTGTCACGTATTTCTCGTGTCATGGTTTTCATCTCTTTCATTTCGTTTATGACCTTCTCTGCATTAATTACTCAGCCATCACCCTTCCACTTTTTCAAGATTTTTAGTTTCTTCGTGCTGAGTACGTAATTCCTCCTTTAGCTCTGAGAAGTTTGATGGACTGAAGCCTTCTTCATCTCACAAAGTCATTCTCCATCCAGCTTTGATCCGCAGCTGGCGACGAAGGCGCCCTTTGCTTCTGGGAGATGTGTTTCTTATTTTTTGAATTTCCAGCTTTTCTGCCCTGCTTTTTCCCCATCTTTGTGGTTTATCTGCCTCTGGTCTTTGATGATGGTGGACGTACTGAGCTGGGTTTTCTTAGATGTGTCCTTCCTAATGATATTTTCTCCTTCTAAACAGGTCAGGACTCCCAGCTAAAGAGAGGTCTGTTGGAGATTGTTTGAGTCCCACCTCTGACCCTGTTTGCTGCATCAGCAGCAGAGGCTTATTAGAATATTGCTGAACCGTACCTGTCTGATTCTTGCTTTGTGAGGCTCCTCAGGGGTGTACTCCACCCTGTGAGGTGTGGGTGTCAGACTGCCCTAGTGGGGATGTCTCCCCAGTTAGGCTACCAGGGGTCAGGGACCCACTGGAGCAGTCTGTCCTTCTCAGATCTCAACCTCTGTGTTGGGAGATCCACTGTTCTCCTTCAAAGCTGGCCGACAGAGTCGCTTGGGTCTGCAGAGGTTCTGCTGCGTTTGTTATTGTTTACTGTGCCCTGTCCCCCAGAGGTGGAGTCTACAGAGACAGGCAGGTTTTCTTGAGCTGCTGTGAGCTCCACCCAGTTCGAGCTTCCCAGCAGCTTTGTTTACCTACTTAAGCCTCAGCAATGGCGGGCGCTCCTCCCCCAGCCTCGCTGCTGCCTTGCCGCCAGATCGCAAACTGCTGTGTTAGTACGAGGGAGGCCCGGGCGTGGGACCTCCCGGCCAGGTGTGGGATATAATCTCCTGGTGTGCCTGTTTGCTTAAAGCGCACTATTGGGGTGTGGGAGTTGCCTGATTTTCTCTCAGGTGTTGTGTGTCTCAGTTCCCTGGCGCTAGGAAAAGGATTCCTTTCCCCTTGCGCTTCCCAGGTGAGGCGATGCCTCGCCTCTGCTTCAGCTGTAGCTGGCTGCTGCAGCAGCTGATCAGCACCCAACTGTCCGCACTCCTAGTGAGATGAACCCAGTACCCTCAGGTTGAAATGCAGAAATCACCCGTCTTCTCTGTGTTGCTCGCGCTGGGAGTTGGCGACTGGA